TCCTGCCAGTGCGTGGCCAAACATTCACTTTCTCCACTGGAGGCTTCTTGAGGTCAGATGTATGGAAATCCTCGACCTCTTCATGGTATGGTTCATTCATCCTCTGTGCTTTATAATTTGCCAGCTGCAGAACTCAGTGTTTGCTCAGGTTTGCTTACATTCTCTCTCCCTCTTTCTCTCTGTAGTTTACTATTTGGCTAGAGAGAAACCCTCCAGGCTGCCTCTTTGGTATTTCACACGTCAGACTGCTGAACACTCCGAACCCTCCCCCCTCCCCGGACATTTCTCATGTCCCTAAAAGCATTCACAAATCTAATCCTACAGCTTAGTTTAAATAGGCTCAGAAATCATTCACGAAGAAATACAAATACAAAATAAATAACACAGTGTACGATACCTGTATACAGAATCTGATTCTCTCTCCCCATTTACAAAACACACGATGAATCCTTTTCAGGTACTTTTAAAAATGGATCAGACTCATACCTGGTTTTATAAAGACTGAAGAGGAATTCTTACCCTGTGACAAGGGATCATTAAAAAAAAAAAAAGATCAGATTAAGGCAGCAGTGGACCATAGGTACAACTAACTACAATTCCAAAGGCTTCACAGAGATACTGTAGTACTTCCAAATCCAGGTACAAATCCGGGGTTCAACTGAAAAGAAATTCAGAAATCGTGAAAAAGAAAATATGCATTTAAGGCACCTAAGCAACCCGAAACAGAGCTATGATATTACGCAGTAATCCTGCGTTTAAGTTAACTGATTTTAGTGGTTTTGACCCACGTACTGTTTACTGATACTTAAAGAAGCATGAGATTTCTGCCTGCTATCTCCTTTCTGGAGAGCAGTGCGAGAGAGCTCCCTCCAGAGTTCACTAAGTACAGCATCAGCTGCATATGCAAGTGTACTATGTTTGAACATACTGTACTCAACCTTGGTTTCTGAGAATGACACCTTTTCCTAACTCCACTCTTCCACAAGCAGACCACGACTCCTTTGACCAAAACGTAGATCCGTTACCATTTCATCAAAAGCAAGCGTTTTCCTCTCACGTACCTATCACTCTTCGTAACACAACAACAAACCTACACCCGTCCATAACGTTTATCATCACTGTATACACCATGAGAAACACAAGTTCAAAACAGCAGTGCACCCCTCAAACCATGAGCCCAAGTGATTCAATGAAGAGGAGAGTCATGCTCTTTACAAACATAGGAGCAATGAGACAGGTCTGATTCTACTGAGGAAAAGGCTTTAGCATGCATCTACCCTCTAGACATTTCCATGCAACAGAACCAGGCTTTGCAATCTGTTCTATTGCTTCTGAAGCACTAGCAAGGAACCAAGCAATTCCTGCAACTCAGCATTACAGAACTTTTTCACCCAGAGACATTGTCATCTGAAATAAGCTCCTTTCTCATTAAGTGACCATTAAAGTTTGCATAGTACTTTAACAGCACCTGCAGGCAGTGATTTCAAAGGACACTGAAGACATGAAGGACATGAAGATATCATTTATAACTTGAAAATCCATCTTCACAGAATCATTTTGCATAAGTTTTATATAGTTCAAGGTTACACAAATCTCGGAGCACTTAGGAAAAAAATCTAATTGCTGTTTAGGATAGAGCAACACTGACAAAACGTTCAGGCGTGTCCAGCTAGCCTTGAACCAACCACATTCGGGGAAAAGGCCTTTCACACATGCTTCATGATCCAGAATGTTCTTCCATATAAAAAACTTGCATGGTTTGGGGAGTGTTTTAGTGACTAGCTTCTGCCTTTAAAAAATAAAACGCCAATTAGATGTCTCTCCTCCCCATAGATCTTGGAAGAAGCTATTACAGCCAATCCATAGATGTTGTTTGTGCTGTTTCTTGCAGCTTCCAACTTACCTGTTCTTCCTCCATGGGGCAGAGAGTAGGAAAAGGGAACCTGAAGGGAGAATTTCACGTTTAGAGACACTTCCACTCATTCAAAACTCCTTCCCCTCTCCCCACACATCGTCGCTTACTCCCAATGGTCTAGCTGCATGTGGCTCACGGGGAAATTGAATTTCCCAGTCCTAGATTCCCAGTAAAATAACCAGTGCAAAGTGACAGCTAGAAATATAAATGATAACGATAAATTAGGATTCTTGTGCATTCCTCATTTGTAACTACAGGCCTTCAAGTTTCCTGTGCTTTTCATTCCTTTAGCATTACTGAGCACTTTGGGGTAACTAACCTTATTTACCAGATCAACTTTTTCTGGCAAGAGAACTTAAGCCCTTCTCTCTCTTTCCTGGAGACATGCTGCTTCTGGACAAGGACTCAAAGCTCAGCAAAAGACCTCCAACAAAAGGTAGAGTACTGCAGAATGAGCAGCATTGCTAGTGAGTCAGAACTAAGTGCTCAGACCAGGACTGACTTGGATAACTGTTAATTTTTAGATTACGTATGAAGTTATGACAAGTAGCTCACTTAATGTTTAAAGAGTCAAAGGACAAGACTCAACATTAATGCAGCCAGCGAACACTTGGCTTTTAAAGCACAGCTACTCTCATCCGTACACTACTGTCCTACCCTGTTAAAGCCATCCCCAGTGGTTGTTCATCCACCAGAGTTCTACGGAGCTGTCATTAGAGAAATTAAAACAGAAGCAAGCATTTGGAAATAGCTTCATTTTGTTTTAAAAAAAGAATTGTACAGCTAGTTTGTAACAACACATTAGCATGTGCTTTCCAGAAAGAGCAAGAGTGTGTATTTCAGCTGTCATGAGCAGGACTGCAAGAAGGTTCTAGCAAGCCTCTTCCACTAGGCAGTAAAGTTTTTGGTAGTTCTGTTCCTTTGCTCTCTCAAAGCACTGTGACACCAGCTTTCCTCTGCAGCCATGCAATGGAGACGACCTTTCCCTCTCCTCCTACCAGGAAGGGGACAAAAAGTGTTTCCTGAACCGGATACAGCCCACAAGCACGACATGTGAGAAAAGTAGTTTTGGCTATGTTTAAGTTCATCATCCATTTGAACAAACTGCAGTAGAATTTCAAGACCTATAATTCTACTAAATATACAGTGCAAAAATACAATATAGGCCTCAATCATTTTCCATGTATTCCCGGAAAATCAATTACAAGCAGCCAGTTATGTAACCTTTACAGGCTGAGAAGTATATTTTTGCACTGCGTCATGCAGCATTCCTAGGTTAAGACATTCCACTTATTACGAACACCACAGCTAATCCTGAATGGATTTGAACAGCCATTTTTGGATTCCAGCAGCCATTTAAATCAGCGTCTCCGTATCTAAATACATGGAGAATCAACCCTACTGTACTCCTGCCACAGAAATGCTGTTCCATAATTAAATATTTTAAGATGTATTTGAAAATAATTGTTTGCATTTCACAAAAAAAGAGACTAATATTAAAGAAATCCTTTATCAGTTGATATATAATCATTTTATTATAAAATAAATTAAAAAAATTGTTTACAGAAACATACAAAAAGTCTAGTACTGAGCTGATAGGGTTCGCCTGGACATTTTAGAGCAGCACCAATACAGAACCCAGTTTCACAGAGAAGAAAAGGTACAGTGATTAGATATCCTTAAGGTTCTCAACTTTGTACAGAAGAATCTGAAAGATCAGATATTCTCAGGTAGACAGGACCGTGTTTATTCACAAATTTCTTCAGTGTCCGAAACCTTTTCTTCTGATCTTTACAGCCTTGGTGTGATATATATTTAAAGTACTTGCAATCTAACAGGGAAAAAAAACCAACAACAACAAACAGCAATGTAGGTTATACCATGATACAAGCCAATACAAACTGTTCCATTCTTCAAAAATAACAGTATCTTCACATGCAAAAATCTCAGCAAAATTTTCCGGTAATAAAAAGTTATTATCCATGGCAGGCACATTAGAGGCATAACTGTAGCTTTAAATAATTAGTCCTCATTTGACCCATAAAACATTTACATATTCTGCAAGACAGAGCATATGTTTCTTTTGTCTTACTCTTCAGATATATTAGAAAGATTTCAAAAGTATAAAGAAGCATTTATTTCACACATTAACTTATTATATTGGACAAGTGAGATGGAGGCTCATATAAGCCTCTATTTTACACCAATTAGCACAGATAGCTTCATTAAAGAAAGTCACAGCTGGAACCATTTTATTAGTCATCTAGAGATAAAAGCCAGGAGACATTCGATAACATTTTACTGAAAACAAAAAAGCTCTGTTTTATGAAGGCCAGAAGGTATCAGTTATAGCAACGCTGGCAAAGAACAAAGTGACTTCCATCCCGAAGTCCAGACTTGTCTACAAGCCATGCTCTCTGCACGATTTTCTCATTCTCAGCTTAGTGGCTGCTTCTTGGTCTGAGCTTCCACTTGGTTTTGTCAGCGTTTCAAAGAACGCTATCAAGGAGGTCATGATCTTCATCTTTCTATCAAATTGCTGACAGCACACACTCAAGGCCTCCCTCCTCCTCTTTCTTATACTAAGATATACACCCATGATCCTTAAACACCGGCTACTCCCCAGTATTTTTGCTGGGACACTGCCTAGACTGGCATCCAGCAAGTAAAGTCTCCACAGTCCCCACAACACTCACTCAGAAGCACGTTGTGTATTTCTGAAATTGTAGTTTCAAGGTTATAAACAAGAACAAGATAACTAATAGTATGACTGTTCAACAAGGCCAGATAAAGGAGAACTTTAAACTAATGTAAAACAAAGTTATGTGAAATACGTGTCTCTGACAAATATCAAACCATTTTGGACTTTTACTCATGTTCAGCTTCAGAGAAGACAATCTTCCCTAGAAGTATGAAATTGCCTTTCTTCCAGTGAATAGATCAGATGCATCTCATTTCATTAGGACTAGAACTAGGCAATATTTCTATGTAGTGAAATGGAAAGACTTAGTATTACCTTTTCCCAATAAGATTCCAGCCACCAGAGCTTTTTCATACGCAAGGCTTTCATTTTCCTGCCAATTCTTTTTTGCCAAGTATCGGCTAAAATGGAAGGCTGGCCACCAGTCCTTCCTGGAGTTCCACTCCTGCTTGATCCAGTCAAGATGCTTCTCGGAGCTTGGAAAAGGCAAAACAAGTTACAGAAGAGTTTAAATTAGGCTGAGATGATGACTGGGAGTGTGTGTGGGGGGAGGATTTTTATAATCAGAGCACTGCAAGTTTCAGAAAATACTAGCATAGATGAATTGATCTTGCACTGCAGACTGAAACACTGCTAGACAGAAATATCCACTTTTTTTTTTTTTTAAATCTCCAGCAATGCTAATGAGGCAGGAGGTGAATTATAGCAGTCTCTAGATTCTACAGTGACACAGATTATGCTACGAAACAAAGCAAGCTTTTGACTTGTGTGCCAGTTTGTCAATAGTAATAAGAAAGTTTCTTTAAATTTGTCAACAAATTAGTATTTTGATTTTTAAGAGTTTGTATACTCAAAGACTAATTTATCCCAGAGACTTAACCTACCCCTGTAACTGTTACACAATAAAGACTTTAAAACAATCATTTCAGAAATTCAAGCTAACTACAATATACAAGTGATATTCCATAAACAAGCAAAATACTCAGTATATTTCAAGATACTCTGAAGCTGTGTCTTCAAACACAAAACTGCAAGTAAAGTTAGAGTATCACACCATTTTTACTAGCTATATGCATCAACACTCCTAGCTTCAACGTATCAAGCTCTAGGCCTTAGCTTTGTAGGGAAGGAGCCATGATAAGAGCAAAATGGGTCAAACTACTGAATTAATTTTACTGTAAATATACAGAACTTTAAAAAAAAAAAAAAAAGTTGTATGTTGGGTAAAATAAAGTCTAGTCAGAGGCCTTCGGAGTATGGATTGCCCGGAGCTGGCTCCCTGTGGAGTCCATGCCTGTCAGTGTTGACCAGGACACATCAATCCCTGGGCCTGTTGGCTCAGCCTTCGAAACGACACTGGCTTCATTCTTCAACAGTTACCGCTATCACACAACAAAGGAGAATACAACACATCAGTCTGTACAGTGCCAGCTGTGCACGTGTCATCACCAAGGGATTCTCAAACAGCTTCAAGTAACATATGCACAGTAGACACTCAGAAGACCCAACAACTCTTTTTCCCCAGAAGATAGAAAATGGTGATGGGCAGCAAAGGCTACCCAAACATCTGAACAACTCCTTCTGCAGGAGCACAGGGCGTGATTAAACAAAATCCTTTCAGGATTATCCTTGAAGACAATTGAAATTCAAGAATTACCGTATTTCTTCTTTCCTCCCCATGAAAGCACACCGCAGCCAAGTACTGCCACAAAACTCGGAGCAGGTCTGCTGACTCTTCCATTCATCAGCATAGAGGACAAACTCGACAACGGATCACTTTGTCAAGCGTCCAAGGAGACAGGTAGAGAGCATGGAGATGGAGATGTGGTGGAGACCAGACACACTCTAGTTTGTTTTTAGTATGTTATATCAGAGATACCATACTTACATTATAATTTGTTTAAATTGCCTTCCCAAACAACTCCATGCTTTTACATTTTCCTTCCACCCAGCATAATCCAAGGCTGCAAAAATAACCTCTAGCCCCAATCGACGTTTTTTTCTTTTCTCTGAAATTAGATTAGTTTGAACTCATTAGTAAGCAACCACAAGTGAAATCTAGTTCTCCATTCATTCTACCTTCCCACACATTGCTACTTTCCTTATTACTCTTCTACCTACTGCCTCATTCAAGAGATTAAGTAAATGACTTCTTGGGTCTAGAGAACACTTCACATCAGAGAGACACTGTCTCTAGTCCCATCTTGCTCAAACACTGCTCATTCAAAAGGCATACCTAGAACTGCTCACCTAACCCATACTGCCCTTGCTTAGAACACAGCTGCTGCTTCCAAAGCTCCCTAATCAATGCTCCCAACTGGAGCTGCTGTCCACTGAACACTGTGCCTCTGTGCCATTTCAAGTCCTGACATGCTATCAGGAGAGGAAAAAAAAAAAAAAAAAGAAGCAGCAAAGCACATCTGGGATTGATATCAATAAAACGGGCCTTTCACATCAGCAGCTACATATCAGTGGAGATTTTAAAACAAGACTTGAACTATCAGAACAGGTAGATCTGTGAAAAGTTATTTTTATGAGTATCAAGTTCTTCAAAAATCAAGTTGCCCACAAGAGCTAAGAAAACTTAGCAAAAGTATCATGCAAGAACAAGAGATACTCCTCTCCCCTGAAAAATGAAATTTCAGCCAAGAGTAGGATTTCTCAGAAAGAGGAGCAACAGAAAAAGGAGAACAAAGGAGAACAATCTTGATTCAAAGACCTTTAACCAATCTGCCGACTTGCTGCAACATACCAGGTTTCAGGAAGACAGTCAACTTGGAATATAACTTATCAGCATGGAAAAACAAATCTCCAGTTTAGAAAGCTTTTCTACCAGCTTGAAGATAGAACTCCCTTGGAGAGGATCAAGATTTTGTTCTCTGATCAATAACATTGAACTAAGGTCAATCTCAACTTCTCCAGAAGAAAAAAAACTAGAGATTCCACAAAGAGAACAGCAAGTCTAGCACCCAGACTTTGATACTTCAAAAAAACAAAACAAAAAGTATTTTCGATATCCTAGGCATATGTTACAACATTTTGCTTTGATCAGCCTTTTAACTTAGGAAAGCATTTGTTTATATAAGCTTATAAACACCTACTGCAGCAGCTGACTTCTAGTTAAAAAGAAGGTCTAGTTTCAGGTCACAGGAACCTTGAACTCCTTTAAAAAGCATGAAAGGATTTCAGAATATCATTAGACATTAGATTAACATTAAGGAAAAGAGTAAAGATATCTAAAGACTTACTCGATTTTTGAAGCAAGGTATGAAAATCCACCATTAGTTCATGAGAGGGAACAATATCATGCAAAATCTGAAAAAGAACAACAAAACCCAGAGACATTGTTTCTGACATGCAAACTTTCAAAGATTTATCTTGGTCAGGTAGAAGCACATGCTTCAGAATCTTTTTTTAAGTAGAAAAATTAAGCAATCAGGTACCTTAGTGTCTTGACATAACAAGTATCTAGGGCCATTTTGCAGCTCTGTGACACTACTCTGTGACATGATAGATGAAATACCTTGATGGGAATTGAGAAACCTTGCACGTAAATACAACATCCCCCAGAAGCAGCCCAAACTCATATCCAGCATCTTCTTTTTAGAGGGCAACATCATCTCCTTCCTAGGCCAGCTCTAGCTCCCCTGTTTACTGCTCTGTGCATTAGATAACGGTTTCAGGATCTCTCAAGACCAGTTCTTTGATTTGTCATTGCCTTGTAAAAGATTAGCTTACAAAACCGCTGCTGAACAACTCTGGGAAGTCGGCGCTTTGTTCATACAGGCTGCAGTTTAAAAGTCTCAACTTTATGATGCTCTGTTAAAGTATCCGCCCTAGTGAAAGCATTTTAGTGCCATCAAGTGGCAAAAGAGATAATACAGTATCGTTGGCAAGAAATTACCAAGACCAATGAGCAAGGGCAAGAAGAGTAGAAATTCGAAAGCAACTACAAAAAAGCTTAATACAGCAAGGTCTTGTCTGTCAGTCAGCACAAAGTTGTATCGCAGCTTAAATGCATGGCTCATTGAAAACAAACAGAAAAACTAATTGCTAGACAAGATCAATGTGAAGAAAGCAAGCACCCCATCATTTAATATAATAAAGTTCAAACTAACAGAAATCAACACGTCATGTTCAAGGCTGCTGGTACAGACTTATGGACCATACAAACATCCTCTCTGAGCTTAGAGTTATCAGCTTAAAGAAGCTGTGACGTATCAAGTTACAGAGACAGAAGAAAGACTTGAATGCAAGCTAGCAGAGGAAAGGAAGATAGCAAAGGATGCTGCTTGGTCCGTTCATCAGCATCCCTCCATCTGACTTTCCTCCAGTTCTCTACTTCCCACAGAGAATGCGACAGGGCAAATAAAGTAATGGGATGCAGCTGAACAAACTGTCAGAGTGCTATGCAACATGAACAACTGTATCTACTACATAACATATACCTTGAGCACAGAGATCAGTGACTTCTTTGGTTCGCCATGCCTTTTTAGGAACTGATAGAGGTAAACATGAGCATTGGGATTAGCAGGAAACTTTGAGTTGTAGGCATAATCGCTTAATACTTGGCGGGCTTCATCATGGTCCCCATAGAACTCCAACAACTAAGAAAAGATAAGTCTGTCATTCATTTGCCACATACTGGCAATCAAACTCTTGCAACTAATTTTGGGATGCCACAGAACTGTCCAGTAGCAGAGTCTGTATCCAACAATACAGCATATTAGAACAGAATAAGACCAGTGTATTTTACTGGTCCCTAATGCTACTGCTCTTGTCACATGGAGACAAAAATTCACATATAGAAGCAGCTACAGGAGAAAAATTCCTTTAACACTTATCTGCTTAAGAATCACCATCACTTGTTCATGGGGAAATAGACACAGCAGCAACCTACCATGTCTTTTAAGGGGAAACACAATGAGAGAATTTGGCAGTTATCAGCACCTAGTAAAATTCCATAAGACGTGGTAAGAGAAGTCAGAGCTTATCAGCCATTACAATATTAAGTCATTTCAATGTGATTCTAAGATCAATTTTATTTCCTGACCAGAATGTCTAAGCAGATACTTAAAAAGAAACTGAGAGATTGAATGTTCGGTGTCTTTAAGGTTTAGTATAGTCAGAAAAACAATTTCTTTCTCACTGTCCTGACAAAGGGAAAGAATCTGTGTTCAGAAATTTAAAAAAGCAGTTGTGCTCCAGTTTCTATGTCAGCACTACTATAAAAACAAAATCTGCAAGTTGGTTGCCTTTTTATTGGCAAGGCATGGATGAAATCCTGTTTGTATTCTATACAGGCTATGCTGTTGCTCTAAATCAAAGCCAATGAGATGCGTGCACTAGATACACTGCTTTTAAAGTATTTCACTGTCACCCACATATATATAACAAAACTATAGATATACCTTACTCTGACAGCAAAAATCAGATAAGGAAACAAGCTCTTACATCCACATAGCATTTCACAAAGAGATCCCAGACTCCAGGTATTTGAATGATCTCCTTTAAGTTCACCACTGCCTTCCGGAAGGAACTGTGCATTTCCTGTTCAACAGACAAATCTTCAAATCCATCCTTATCTACCAAAAGATGACAGAATGCCACAAAGTTAGCTTTGTTAATCAAGAGGGATCTTGAAGTGGTACATCTGAGATTATCACATTTTGCTAAGCAAGGGCTCCACTCTCAGAGCTTTTAAGAAAGCAAAAACAAAAAAAATCCTCAGAGCAATCCTCAGACCCTCAGTATTGGAACAACAAGAAGTTTACACTGTTCTGCATTCACATTTATAATCACTAAACTTCGAATCACTAGACATGAGATGCTCTGTTCCAAGAAAAGACACTACCAACACAAGATCTACAAATCAAATTCAATACTGAGTTTCTAATAGAAACAAGCAGAGAGCCAATGCAACTAATAACACACAGCGAGCAGGTATGTACAAGGTTAGAGGCCATGCACCAGCAGCAACCCACACATTGCCATTTTTAAACAGAAAACCCAAACACACGAGTTTTTTTTGTTAGCACTCAAAATTCTAGCAGCAGTCACACACTCTCATGCACCTACAAAGATGCCACTGCTATAGATGGATACACTCCCTCGGTCATGTTTTAGGCGATACTGGCTGGATACAAGAACTGTGATGGTGGGAGGGAACGTTACTTTGTTTCAGAACAGCATTTCAAGCTACTTTAAGAAGTAGCAAGAAAGGTGCTGGTCAGTGTGTCCTTCCAGCACCACCGACCATCACTGTTGATACAGAATTATGTACCATTTGTACCCTAAATTTTGAAGTCACTTTGGTGCCTTAACATGCAGACACAGAGAGAAGAGCAGCCTATGTGAAAAAACTGTCATTATAAACCATGGGGCTCACAAGAATAAGCAAGTTGAAATTTACAGCTCAGTACAAAAAGCAGTACTGGGACTTACCATACTCTAGCAAGACATTCTTCCGCTTAGACCAGCTATAGTAGTCCAACAGTCCCCTGTAAGCCTGAATTAGTTTCAGTTCTTTATCCTGAGCAGTTGTTTGCTCTCCAAATCTCCAGCTTTCTGCCAGGGACAGGTTTTGGTAGGCTTCATCTGTTCGTCCATTACAAAGGAGATGAAAGGCATGCTCTAAACAGACCTACAATTCAAACAGTCCATACCACAGCGTTTCACGTCATAAATGGAGAGAATCTTAGCAAAGCAGCAAAGTTCTATATAGATGTACAGGGAGAGAAAAGAGCCTCACTATTGAAATCCATATAAAGTATTCCAAACACACTGTTAGTAAAATACTTTAATTAGAATTGCATTTTACATGTATTCACAGGGGGGCGGAGGGGGGTGGGGGGGGGGGGGGGGGCAGGGTGAGGAAATGGGTGTGCCAAGAACCTAAGCATTTTTTGCTCTGTCTGACGATACTGGAAAAACATGAATGAAAAGGATATCTGGGATACTAAGATGTGTCCCTGGGAAGGGAGAGGGCTAAACCTTCTGATAATTTGTGGGGGAGAAAAATCACTAACCCAGGTGGTCTATATCCATTGGTTCTTATCAAAAGCAGTTGTCCCAAAGCTTGCTTGTCATTAGTCAGTGCTGTATCTATTTTAGAAGATCCAGAAATGACCTGAGGAAATCTAGTCACGTTCACAGTTGCCGAGTTTTTCCATTTGGTTACCCAAATGCAGCCCACCTGAAAGAGGGATGTCTTACTACCCTATCATGTTGATCAGGCAATGGATAAAAGTCTGAGCCTTAAGTTGCTGAAGACCTTTACCAGAAGTTCTTCACAAGAGATTACTAGAACTAGTAGGACAGAGAGGTAGTCACAGATGAGAAACAGTCAGAAGACCAAAACAGCATACCTTTTAACGGGCCATCATGGACAAAGAACAACAGCTGGGTGACACAAGGGTCCACTGTATAAGGCCTATTGTTTTACATATAGATTAACTATTTGAAAAGTGAGTAGATAATGATAGCAAAAAACTAAGTATAAAAGAAAACTCTGCAGGTGTTAACAATAAATTAGATGTTGCTGATAAAGTTAGGGCATGCTTGAAAACCAATTTATAGAGGTTTCAAAGTAAATGATTTAATTAAAAGATCTAGAGTCTACTAAGGACTGACAATGCAACTGTGATCAAATGCATAGACCAATGAGATATTGTATGTATAGAACAACATATAAAATCATCATGCAATTGGTAATACAGATGTATAATTGTTGACGCTATTGTCAGTAATACACTCTAAAAGATATAGAACTTTCAGAAACAGCAATACTCAAGTAAGTAGACAGACACGTCTGGCAAGTCATCAAGGCTGCATTAAGTACACTCTTACCTTCAAGTATCTTTTTACTCCTAAAGTTTTCATCTGTTCTATGAAAGAGTTGAACTCTTTCATGCTGCTGTGTGAATAATGGCACAAAATTTCTGTTCCTATTCTCCAAATCATCTATCAAGGCAAGGGAGAAAAATCCAAAAATAACCTTATTACAAAAATGGAAAGAATCACCATACACTCAATCTTATCAAGCTTGTAGCTACTGTAACATATGAATAAAATATGCATCTGAATTGCCAATTAAAAACAGAATACTAAATGTTGTCTACTGCTATCGTTACTTACATGACCATCTAGCACATTTTTATAATCATTCAGTGGGTGTTTCACAATTGCTCATTAAAAATCCAGCACTTAAAGCATATGAAAACTGTATGTTAGAAAGTTCCCCCTCCTGTCACCGAAAAGCTTGTTTTTCTTTGATGTGTTCTCACTGAAGTGCAAGTTATAGATGATTCATTTATTTAACAGCTCAGTTTGATACCCTTCCTCCTCCTTCTGTCTCAGTAACTACTTGAAGTTTTGTAGGTACTGGAAAAGCTAGTAAAGACCTAAGTAAGCCACTAACTTTCAAACAGATTCTAACTGATGGCATGCCAGAGGCAAATACATTTATTGCTTTTCCATTTTAGAGGACTACATTAAGATGACTTTTCTTAGATAGACATATCTAAGAATTCACTTGTACAAAGCCAAGTTTTCATCTGTTTCACTGATGGAATTCACTTGTACAAAGCCAAGTTTTCATCTGTTGCATCACTGGCTTATGTGAAAAAGCCTGCAAGTGAGGAGAACATTTCAGGAACGCTGAACGTTGTCAGGAAGGACGTCAGAGTTCAGTAATTTCTCACCACTCCCGAAAGCCAGATCTCAGCAGAATTCAATGTCCAGCAAGACTGGTCAAACCCACAGCAGAGAGGCATGCTTGTACAGATGCCAGCCTGATACACTTTCAAAGAGTAATCAGGCAGCATACTGCCGTGAACATTACCAGTAATCAAGTTTGATGTACTTTCTGCAGCCTGTCATGCAAGACCTTCCACTTCTCCATCAGCACTTGAATAACTACTTACACTGACAGTCTTCCCCCCTTTGTAGCACCATGCTCAAATCCATATGTTCTCTGTTATCACAGAATGGTTGAGGTTGGAAGGGACCTCTGGAGATCAGCTAGTCCAACCCCCTTGCTCAAGCAGGGTCACCTAGAGCATATTGCCCAGGGTCACGTCCAGGTGGGTTTCGAGAGACTCCACTAACCTCTCTGGGCAACCTGTTCCAGTGCTCTGTCACCCTCACAGGAAAGGAGTTTTTCCTCATGTTCAGATGGAACTGCCTGTGGTTCAGTTTCTGCCCGTTGCCTCTTGTCCTGTCGCTGGGCACCATGCAGAAGAGTTGGGCCCCATCCTCTTGACACTTTCCCTTCAGATACTTGTACACGTGGATGAGGTCACCTCTGACCTTCTCTTCTCCAGGCTGAACAGGCCCAGCTCTCGCAGCCTTTCTTCAGAGGAGACATGCTCCAGTCCCCTCATCCTCTTTGTAGCCCTCCGCTGGACTCTCTCCAGTAACTCCATGTCTCTCTTGTAGTGGGGAGCCCAGAACTGGACACAGTACTCCAGGTGAGGCCTCACCAAGGCTGAGTAGAGGGGGAGGATCACCTCCCTCGACCTGCTGGCAACACTCTTCCTAATGCACCCCAGGATACCCTCGGCCTTCCTGGCCACAAGGGCACATTGCTGCCTCATGGTCAACTTAATGTTCACCAGGACTCCTAGGTCCTTCTCTGCAGAGCTGCTTTCCAGCAGGTCAAACCCAATTATACAATGACCTTTATTAAAAAAAAAAAAAAAAAAAAAAAAAAAAAATGCACTTACTTAGCTTGCAAAAGTTACCTGGCTTTTCAGGTCTTACCTTTGACACTTCTTTCTAAATCAAGTCTATATAATTTATTTTAGTCAACTGAGACAAATGTTAGCCCTAAAGTCTTACAGATGCTTCTTGCAAGTATTTTTTTCAACTGCAGAACAACTCCAATAAGGGATTTCGACTTACTTACCTCTGAAGGACCCATGTATTCAGTAGAAAAGTCTTTCTCCAATGACTCAGTATAGAAGGTCAGAAACTCCGCAGCCCTTTTCCACTGCTTTTGTAGCATGGCATCCTGAATGTAACTTAAGCATGCTTCCTTGCTCTTCCTGAAGTTTAATTTGTGTTCATGGGAAGTCGCTAAATACAAACAAAAAAACCCAGTCTTCATTCAAATAATAACATGCCTACTGTTTTAGTGTCTCTCTATCAAAGAGACATGATTCCTCAGACACTACAGAAACCAGTCTTCACCTATATGACTTTGAAAGTAAACACATCCAGGTTCTGAAAAACCTAACAGGAGAGCAACAAACTATGAAAAAAGCTGGAAATACAGTATAAAACAGCATTTTCACAAGCAACACAGAGATGAAGACACTTTTGAAACAGCCAAGGACTAGCTGTTACACACTACTGCTCTAGAGGAATCAGAAAACCATGGTGCTTTGGTAACTTAGTAGTGTATGTTGATATTTGGGGAGGGGGAGAAGGGAACCTCTCTCTTCCCTTATTCATCCTGAACTGACCTTGTGACTCTACTGTGCTGAAGTGTCACATAAGTACATACAGATGGGCCACTCCAGTAACAAAGGTGAAACAACACCCACTAAAAACAAAAAGCAAAACACAAAGATACACATAGCAGATTATTCTTTTGTGAATACAAAATGGGAAGGAGGCCACTCATCCCTTTTATATAAAGGGTGCTAGACAGTGGTTCACCTTTGTTATAGCACAATATTGAACCCATTTCCATGTTTAAGCCCATGCCTATGTAATATTTGCATGCCATTGACCTAACGTGCCCCCACAATGTCACTCAAGCCATAGAAACCTTCTGCAAAGGATGTGCAGAGCTGAGCAAACCAGCTCCTACATGGATGCTGTAGGCAAAGCAGTGACTCAAACATAGGCTGACAGCACTTTTATTACAGTGCATTGTACACAGTTACCTCTAACCAACCTTCCCAAGACCATACTGACTAGTCTAAAAGAAGCTTCTTTTAGTAGAGCAATAGTGTCTTCACACCTGGCCTAACATTTAAATTATTTGTAACTTCACAGGTTCCAAACATTGAGAATAGAAAAACCGCAACAAACATTGCAAGATTAAATATACCAAGGACTATGACTACTGTAGGTAAGTCCCATCACATAAGTTACTGAGAAGTCATCTGATACAGATAGATGCGATGTAAAGGCTCTGCCAAGTGTTTTACTACAGAAGTATTTTGAAACAGGAACTTTGCTAGAGGTTTGGCAGTTACCTACATCCACTATGCCTTTGTTATCAGTTATTTCATCTACCTTATTTTACTAACAGTGAAAATGCGGAATAAGCCACATGCAGCTTATTACCCACAGAAACAGAGAGAAACAACACAGGGATGCTATGATTAAAGACCTCAGTCTCTGAGGTACCAAACATCCTCCAGGCCCCTGAAGCCACGAGACTGCCGGGGCTGCCCACACGGAGGAGAGCAGGCCAAGACTGCCAGAGGACAGTCACCAGTTCTTCCTGCTTCACTGAGACCTCACAGCACGGAGCAGAAACGACACCTTCGAGCACCTCAAAGGCTGCCAGACAGACCGGCCAAGCGCAGACCACAGAAAAGGGGGGGGCGGCGGACACACGCGGCGGGCGGCGCTCCTCCCTCAGGCCCCAGGGA